ATAAATCTAAACGAATCCTTGAAGACTAAGAGCTTCTAAAGAATAGCTCATACATATAAGAAAAGCCAAACATAATCTGATTTACATAATTCGTTCTTGGTGTGCGTTTTCATGCATAAAAAATGAGCACTAGCAATTGGAATATGTAATTATGAGAGGAATAAATAATGAGATACTTTACAAAAATAATTAGTCAATATCAAGAAGCAAAGCTTTAATTATTATTGTGCGCCAACCCACAAACGTTGTGGTTCAACATTGAACCTAATCAAAGCAAGCAGCACCATAACATTTGTGGGTTCGTACACAAGAGACTAGGGCAAGATAAGTCATAGACTTGGTATTAAAGATAAAAACAGGATAGATGTGGTGGAAACTGGAGCTAATTGACTGACAGTAGGTTTTACCAGAAACATGGTCCAAGTGGCCATGAGACTTTCGAGGCTTAAGCCTCGAATTAGTCACCCAGACGCAGGGGAGGGCGAATAACGCCTCAAGTAGCACAAATTCGGTGGCAGAGGCCGAGCGAAATACGTGAACCATGGAAAAAGCAGACGGATCCTACGGGGCAAGAGAGAGACTGTGATAAGACCTAGGGAAAGAGGACTGCGTAATAATGTGGCAGACCCTGATCAACATTCCCAGCACAAGGTGTGGAGTGTGAATGGTTTTCATGAATGCCGCTCAAAGAAGTACACCACACACTGACGATGCCAGCGAAACGTCTGGGAATGTAAGACGTCCACGGTCCGACTTTGGAAATGAGCATTCATACAATGGACTCCGGACTAGACATGTTCCTTTAAGTCTTCCTACTAATATGACAAAGTTGCGAAAACAATGTCAAACAACCTCTATACAACGAAAGGAGACTGAGACCACACAAAAGGGCACAGCATCTTGGTCTTCATACCTTAGTTTAATTACTAGTGTTTCTGTTTTTCACATTTATCATTTAGTAGTCATGATTACGTATATGAAAGTGTTGTAGATATATAGAGATGTGCAAAAAGTGAATCAATGATAAGTCATATTATATGAACCAATAGGAAGAAGGATAAGAGTGCATACAAAAGCTGAGGTTCGCTTTTTTAGCTTGTCTTCTGATTAACATAAGCTAATATTGATTATAGGCACGAATGCAGGTAAGGAATGTGTCGATTATAGGAATATTTTAAAGACGAAAATAATAAATAAAACTGGCGACTGGGCCCCTTTCTAAAAACCTTTCATAGCTTGAAAGTCTAAGATTGAGTGATAGAAAAACTATATAGAAAGAAACCAAATAATGAACAAATTTCGTATATGTATAGATAGATAGATTTATATGGCAAAAAAAGAAAAAGGACTAAGGTGAACACACCATATTATTTAAGAGAGACCAATCAACGAATCTTTGCATTACAAACGTACACTCGAAATGTAATTCGAGTCCACATTGTATTTGCTTCCCTGAATATCAGGCACACAATTCTGAGCAAAAAGGAAGGATAATTCGCATTACAAATGTGGAGGCAAAGTTTAAAATACTCAACCCATTTCGATACATAATAAATTTGTCAAAGAGAAGGTACGCAGAAACAAATACGTCTTCTAAACTAATGTTATTTTGTGAGAAGACGATGGATACCAAATAATGAACTATCGCTTCCGCAAAAATCCCATTTTTTGCAGTTGTTATCTTTTCTCAAATGCTCTCAGATAGCACCTTATAGTTGGTTCAATTGTATAACACCTTCCTGGGCGTTATCTTAAAATTACATTACCATAGTTTTATTCAACAAATCTGGCACTTATTTAGACTATAAAATGAACTCTTAAATACTTATTTGACAGTAGATTTGTTAAATTCTGACATTATGCAAAGGATAAACGAATCTCAATAGTATTTACGACTACAGTCAACAGTGGACAAGCCTCTGGAGATTGGTTCGGCATGCTAGACAGGTGCACATTGAGACCAGATAAGCGAAACAAATCAGTAATTCGGTCGCCTCCGACATTATCATTATACCAGCCACAGATAGAAGGATGAATGGTCGCCTCTCCTGAACTACCGACAGCATTTGGTCCACCAGAATCAGCACTACCGGTAGCTCTACTCCAAGCGGGGATATAGTTCAAGGCCATGAGAGATGGGTCAGAACCAGGCGCCACCCGTAGGGCAGCCAAATAAAGCACGAGGCTAGGAGGACCCAGAGGTCCAGCGAATACTGGCGCCCGGTCACGATCCATCAGCAGAGAAGTTGGATAGTAGTGAGCCGCTTGGCCCAATCGAAGCAGTAAACGAAGCGGCAGGTTCACGGCCCAGATGGCCTCGAGGGCGTGCACCAGGACGGCAAAGAGGAATGGCGGCTCCGGTAGAGCAAGACCGAGCAAACACTGGTGACTTGCACGGAAGTAGATGAATCCAGCCCACCCTGTGCCCGAAGAAACTATATTATCACAATTAGTGCGATGGTGACGACCTGTACACGACGGTTTGAATGGCCTGGAAAACCATGTTCTGAAGGGCTGAGATTGAGTGTCGGCTGGATCCAAATTGGGACAGGACTTGGTTGGGGGCGGCTTCAGGATGCAGGACAGGTCATTATAAGGCGACGTATTGACGGACTGGAAAAGCGGGCGAGAGAATGGTTCTGTCGAAAAAAACATTTGCAGTGAAAAATGGCAATAAGTGATAAGCATAGTCAGATACATGGTATGAGAATCCCCAGAGATCTAATTCACTTCTTTCATTGGGTTAAGGCAAGTGAGAGCATATGAAAGTCAAATTATGAAAGAAGTATAGTATTAATAATATAGATTTTAATAACGTATATTAACTTGGTTTGGTCTCGTTCTCGTCGTTCGCTCAAAGAAATTTCCAAGAATGT